TTGCCAATATTTGGCAACCTATAACCTAACCTATAAAAAATTTCACAACCTAATCCTAACCTAACCTATGGATTCGACAACCTAATCCTAACCTAACCATTGAAAAAAAAAATAGAACAACCTATAAACTTTTGCAACCTAATCCTAACCTAATCTATAGCTTTTGCAACCTAACCTAACCTATAGGTTAGGTTAGGATCAACCTGCAGGGCTCTGCTGCACAGCTGCATTTTATTTTAATGCTAACTCTCTGTAAACAGGTGGACGCATGAGTTAATTTTTGTCTAAATTTTAAGTGAAACTTTTTATGTTTTGAAGATATTTCCCCTTAATTTTGAAAACTTCAATGCATTATTTGGAAAGATCGACTTTTAAAGAAACTTTTTTAACGTATAGCTGAAAACTAGCGCTTTTGTATGTTCAAAAGTAAGGTATTCATTTATTTAGCTTAAAATTTAGACAAAACTCCTGTGTTCATCTGTTTATAGAGAGTTGTTATTAAAATAAAAATGCGGCTGTACAGCTTCTTGATCTGAAAAAGTTATTTTAGAAATATGTAGGGTCACTAAAAACTTTTGGCACATCTCACGAAAAAGGAAACAATCTTGCGCTTTTCTCTTAAAACATCTCAGAAACTGTCTCTCTGTGATTTCATATAGAAAATGTAAAAGCACGCATTTCATCAGACCAAACGCTCAATTATTTTTGAGTAAGTACTGACATTGATATTCTTTAAACGAATGCAAATCTCCAGCTGAACAGTCCTTATCTCTTTTCTTAAATGTTATGTGACTACCGTATGTCAAACCGATGCAGTGTCGATCAGCTTCGAAATCAAGATTCGTACCTGCATTGTTCCATGTTTATTAATAAACAACAACTAAGGCTGTGCGATAACCGGTAATTTATCGTCGGTAACGGTGAAAACCTTTTTACCGCGGTAACGGTAAAATGAATTTATTGAAAAGCGAGATTGCCGCGGTAGCGGTAAAAAGGTTTCCACCGAAGGACCGGCAAATACTATTCACCGTCTTTGTCTCCGATAAACTTTCTTTTACCGAATTTATGTCTGATATTTTGTTTTTATTTCTTTATTCCCTCCTAATTCTGATCGTTGTTAACTGCGATCGGCTCTAGTGCAAAACAACTAGTTAAACAAGATCGTTTGTTACTATCTGTTTCAGGCACGAGTGCGCGCAGTGAGAACGGTTTTGATGTATCTGGACGATTAATGCAAAATCGTGTTGGTTTAAACTATATTTATTTTAAAGATAAAGAAATCCTAATAACGCGCCAACCAAAGCGGCAAATTGCCATTACATAGTTCGACGCGTTATTTTACAAGATGTTACTCTCTTCCATAAGAAAAAAAACAAAAAATGACATGAAGTTGAACGAAGAGAAAGAAAAGTTATGTGTACAGTGAACAGATGCAGGGGAGGGAGGTGAGAGAGAGAATGTTGATCAACGCATATGAATATTGACTATTGTCTATCCACTGTCGGTTATGTTATACCCATTGTCCGTTTCAATATGAAGTCAAATACAGATAAATTTGTTGATGTTGATGAATATTGTCTTAGATATGAATATAATTGTTTAACTGTTATTTCTTTTTGATAGAAATGGCTAAATTCTTGATAAAATTTACCATCATGAAGAGTTGCATGAATTAAATCCACGTCCGCCTTCAGATGCAGCCAACAATTGAATTATAGTTACAACGATAAACAACAAATATCAAACAAAATTATCAAACGAGACATGATAACATTTTTCGTAAGTGTGATTTACGAGAAGAGAAACAAAATTAGGACTGGAATCTCCTCCAGAGTGAACATTAAATCTTTCTTTTCGAATGCAATTTATGACTGCGGGAACTGAGTAACCCTTTGAACCAACGATCTTCTCAGAAATGAACCTTCTGATGTGTCACCCTCCGTTTTCAATGATAATGTGTCGGTTGATAGAGGATAGCGTCCTAGTGTAAGTTCTAAAAGGATTCATCCCATACCACTCCGTTCAACAGTTTATCCTTGTTTACTTATATAAGGAAACACAGTAACACTAAAGCTTTTGTATCTCGGTAAAAACAGCTAATGAAGAGCTGAAAACTTTTGTCATAACGCTGCTTCTCGTCTGCCAATATCACAAAAAAGTTTCAGGCTCTCAACTTGTTTACACACTGAGTTATTAAGATTTTTCTATTTTTATCAAGATTTAAGAAGAAATTTCTTATATCTCTTTTTTTCTTTTGCTCTTTATTTTTTTTCCATGTCTCAAATTAGAAAAACAACACATGACACACACAAGACAAACACCTTTTTTTCCAGAACGACTAGGTGAGAGAAAACAAATATATATACATAAATAACGTGAATTGCATCGATTCATTAAGTCCATTGCCTGTAAGTCGAATGAATGCACTGTTGGTATTATTATTCATTCTGTTGTAACACGACCTTGTTACTAAGTTACGGAATTGATGCATATTTTTTGCGTTTAAAACGTCAATATTTTGCACCTTAGTTTACAGAAGCAGTTGCTTTAGCTTTTCACCGTTCAGAAAAGTTTACCAGAGTGAGTACGTGTTTCGAAGCCAAGTATGGAACAGAAGTCAAGTCTATCAAGTCAGCATCAGTTCACGAGTTATGTGACTCTCAAAAGTTTGAAAGCGTCATAGCATTATTTACTCGATTTGTGTAATTCATCGGGTCTCTGTAATTTAATTTGGTTTTATCTGACCCCCAAAGAACCCCAGAGGTCTAACAATATTTCGAAATTCCAGACAATGCTCACGCGTCCATTCGGTCCGCGCTCGCAGACAGGACAGGTATTACACGTCTCTGATTCCACAGGAAACCCGAGCGCATCTACCAATGTGGATCTTTGTCCGTGACACTCATTAGTGATTCTGTGTATGTACGTCCGTCACACTCACTGGTCACTATATGTATATTCGTCCGTCACCGTGTGTGCTTACGTCCGTGACACCTCTGTACGGACACACAAACACTTTGAGTTTTTCGTATGACCAAATTCTTTTCGTATGACCACAGACTTTCAGTCCATGGAATAAGGGGTCATTTGTATTCACAAAAGGCACAAGTCAGAACAAAACAGAATTCCTTCGAAAAACAGTTTTTTCCTAGTCACGAAAAAATCTTAGTAACTCAGTATGTAGACAAGTTCAAAGCGTGAACATTTTTGTGATATTGAGAGACGAGAAGTAGCATCATGACAAAAATTTTAGTATTATTGTGTTTCCTTATATAAGCAAGCGAGAATAAATTATAACTTTTAAAAGAAGCGTCGATACAATATCATGAAAAACGGAGGGCCATACTCTGGGAGGAGGCACAGTGTGCATTCGGGAAGATATTGGATGAAAAATGAAAATACACTTTTTAAAAACGCAAATAGTGTCCGAGATAAGTTTTCTTTGACGTATTATACTTGACATATGGGCTATTTAATGGTAAAAAGATAGTCCACGAGCGGATGTCGACATAGACCGTAGGAAAAATTTTCAATCCCTAATATAGCTGGGGGAAAAATTCCTATGGTCTGTGTCGAGCGGTTCGAGGTATTTTGGCTACGAAACTTGAAATAGAGGCTGAACTCCTTTTTGACAACGAATTCAAATAGACGATACATTTTCCTTCAAAATGAGATATTCGCGTCATTTCGTTACAGAAATACATATCCGTATCAAAACATATGTCCCTTTTTTGCAGTAGAAAAGCACAGAAGGTTTGAACACGTGAGTCTGTGCATACACACGTGAGTCGTTTCCACCTATTTCATTTGTTCTGTTTCTCAATAACTAGTTCTTCTGATTTCATAAAAAACCGGAATATAAAAAACTAAATTTGATCGAAAAACTGAACGTCAGGTGGCAAACGTTCAGGATGCCGTCTTAATTCTCTAATCAGCTGTCTTCGATAACCTTGTTGGAGAAGTTGGCATTTGTAATCTGTAGAGGTGTGGTCACCTCCACAATGATGGCATTGAATAGAACAATCTTTATGTGCCCATAAGTTTGTTCTATCTCCACTGCAACGTCTACAGATGTCAAACTGTGAATTCTGACAAGCTTTCTTAGTATGTCCTGGCTAATTACATCTGACACAATAAGAATTCTTGGAGCAGGTAAAAAATTATCAATATCGTATCGTACAGCTGGTAAAACAAATTAATCTTACTACTATTAATTAATGAATTGTATTCTTTTTTGCTAAGAATTCAATGCGTACATGTCAATTTCTGTCGTTGATTGTACCCAGCATGTCTTCTACAGCAAATAAACTTTTATATTTGCCATCTAACTCATCTTTAATATCATCATTCGTTATTGAATGTTTTACCCATATTTGCGATTGCAGTGTGTTGAGAAGGAACATGAGTAGGAGGATATGATATGATTTTAATACCATTCAATCCATTTGGATATCTTTCTTTTTTACACAAATAGACGTATAAATCACTTGTTTTGATGACTACCTGAAGATTTCCTTCCGAATCAATCCACCATAAATCAAACAAGAGTGGTTTTGAAAATGTTGGATTTTCACGTGTAAAGTCATCTTTTATGTAGTTCAATAATTCTTGGACGAATTTTGCTCCTTGTTTTTGATCATGCAGCTGTGGATGACACTGAATTTTGAAAGGTGAATAGTGGTATTTTATTTATTTTATATTTTACTTTATTTAAATAAAGTAACAGCAAATTCTTTTGCATTTTACTGTATATGTATGTGTAAGTAAATGTTCAATGAAATTCGAAAATTTACCAAAAGAAAAAGGGTTTTTGAACTATTCATAGGATTAAATAGGATTTTAGGAAAGACTTTCATAGAATGACAGAAATACTTTTATAGACAATAAAATAATTTTACGGAAATTCTGTATCATTATTTTTTTTCTATAAAATTATTTTGTTTTTCAGGAGTTAATATTTTGTCTACAAAACTATTTCGAGAAGACCCACGAATTATTTTTCTGCATCATTTTCTCTAATACCTTTTTTCTATAAAAAAACGGTTAAAACGGGTTTTATAGTTTTCTATAAAATTATTTAAAATTCCATAAACAAAAAAAGAGCCAAAGTAATAATATTATAGAATTCTATAAAACATTCTATGAAAGTTTTTTCTATAATCCTATTGTGAGTCCTATTCATCGTATCTTTTCTAGATTATAAGATTCATCGACATTAATGTACTATTAAAATTCCATTTCATTTATATTACTAAAGAGAATTTTGAATTTTTAAAGCTTTATCATATTAAAGCTTCATCATAATCACCGTTTCTTTCATAACATAATCCGATAGTGTCGTATAAATTTACAATCTCAATTTCATCAACTGAGGTTAATTTTTCATATATTTTTCAACATTTTCATTCGATTGTATTATCAAGTCTTTTGTATAATATTCTAAAGCTAAATCATATTCACCTTTTTTCCCATATAAAGATCCAATATTAGAATGTATACTTGAAATCATTGAAATATCTGATGGTAAATATGTTTCATATAATTCTAGAGCTAAAATATAATGTTGTATTGAGAGATCGTAATTGTCTTTCTTATCATACCACAATCCAATTAAACGGTATAATTCTGCAATTCGAATTTTTTCATTTGACATTATTTCGTTTTCTATTATTAATGCTTTTTTATAATATTCTATAGCTAAATTATACATATTTTGTATTCCATGAATATTACCTATCAACCAATAGGATCGTCTTATTTGTTCATGTCCTCGTGGAAGTACTTTTTCATTAATTGTTAATGATTTTTTATAATATTCTAATGCTCGATCATAATTTTTTATTGTAAAATAAACTTTAGTAATATTCATGTAAGTACGCGCTAAATCAGGATGATTATTTATTTCGTATATTCTTTTATATATCTCTAATGATTGTTCATAATGTTTTAGAGCGTAAAAATAATTCTCTAATTTATAACAGATAATGCCAATATTGTGATGATAATTTGAGATAAGTTTCAATTGATTTATAGATGTATTTTGTACATTAGTGTGGACAAAGTGTCTAAAGACGAATTGACGAATCGCAATTTTTGGGCGTAAAAATGATGCAACAATTCGCATTTTACCATTGTTTTGCGAATTCGTAATTTAATGCGAAGTGATGCGAA